GTGCCAGTGCAGTACATGCAGTACATGTAGAATGCCATTCTCTATAGGAATGTATTGTATCCGGTCAAACACAATTATTTCCAAAAGTTTGCTAAGAGCTGGCAGTAGTCTTATTGGTCTGCTGATAGAACCAGAAAAGGGTGCTTTACCATTCTTGGGTAGCGGAATGACTTTAGCTTCTCTCCAGTTCTGAGGGAAAACATTTTTCTCCACGCTCATATTGAAGATATGAGAAATAGGAGCGGCAACGTATTTCGCTACCATCCACAGTAGCTTTCCATCTAAGTTGTCAATACCAGGTGGTTTCTCATTATTGAGGGCCAGCAACAATGTTTTAACCTCTTCCACGCTAACTTTATGAAATGTTAATTGACATTGCTTTTCTTTCATAACTAGGCATTTTATGCATGAATATGATGGCTAACAGTTTGTTGTTGGCATTTCATGCCTGAGTTTGCCAATTAAGTAGTTTTCGAAATAATTGGTCACATCAAAGAGTTTTGTGATGAATGAGTAATCTGATTCAATAAAAGACTGTGTTTTGAATTTGTCTTTCTGTACCATAATTTCATTTAAAGTTCTCCAAAGCTTTTTTCCATCATATTTTATATCATTTATCTTAGTTTCATAATACAGTTTCTTCTTCTTTTTGTTGAGTTTAGTCACATACATTTAAAATGTTCAGTAAGTCAGCAAGTCAGATGTGCAGCCAGACTTATTAGCCACTCCTTTAGCCCCATCTCTTTCAACCATACAGTTTTTCAGCTCCTCATCAATCCACGGCGCCTTAGCAGTTCTAACAGTCAGTTTCTTAATAGGTGCATGTTTATCAATAGCTGGAAGGAGCAATTTCATAAATGCTTGAAATGCAGCGTCTGGATGCTCCCCATTACACACATTAGACCAATCAATCTTCTTTACATCTTCAGCATAGGAATCACTATCAAACTTTTTGTATGATCTCTTATAGACTATTTTAGGCCCTGCCTTTGGAACTTTGGCTTTTCTGGATACAGCTACTATATTGTGGTCGCTACATCCAACGGGTGTGGAGACACCTTTAGAACAAAGTTCTGTGGCATTAGTAAAACATAATCAATACACATGGATGATATAGTTCCTGTACTGTTTGTAAACACCCTGGTAGCTTGATTAATAACCGGACATGCATTGGTTACAGTAAGCAGCTTCTTCTTGAGAGGACAACTCAATGAAAACCAGTCTATATTCATTTCACTCAGAAAATAGACCTCTCTGTTAACATCACATACACTATCAAGCATTTCACACATGTATCCAAATACTAACTGTTTGTACTTGGCGGCTGATAGTAGCACCCCAAAAGAACCTGCAACCACAACACTTCAACAACCTTTGGCGTGAGATCTTCTCTGAGGTTCACAGGAATTTGGCTCTGAAAATATATAGCGACACCATATTTATCCTCTCTCTTCTATAGATGTTATATCCCTGTATTGCTATTGCTGTGTTGTCAAAGGAATGATCAAAGTGAGTCTCAGTGATGGCTAATATATGAATGTTATCTGAGGTTAGCAAGCTATTGATTTCATGAACCTTATTTCTTAGGCTGCATATATTAATATAGGCTATTTTTAGCCCTTTCCTGGGTAGCTTATTAGAGATAGACATAATATGGGAAACCACAAACAAAGCAAGCCTCAATCTTGGTGCGGGGCTTAGGCTATGAACCCATCTGCTTGGTTCTCTCACCCCTTCCAGGCTTTTGGGTGGGAGGGTGGACAATGAGCCTGTCGTAGCAGATGTAAGCAATGTTCCCACGCTCTCTGTCAGCTTTAATGGCTGGGATCAGTTCTCTTCGCCTCTGGCACACAGTTTCAGAGTAATCCTCGTTGAGGAAGATGTTGGTTCCTCTCAAGTTTGGCACTCTCCATAACAGTCCCCTTGTCTTTGTACCTCAGGAACTTTATCACTATTGACCTGGGTCTGTCACCTGGATAGGTTTTCCAATCATGTGGGCGCACTCCACCTCAATCTTCTTATGATCTATCGGCAGCTTTTCATCTATCATTTTCCTCACTTTCTCCTCAGACTCCATCCAGGTCTCATGTGGAGACTCTGGGATTCCATCCACAACAATGTTATTTTGCCTTGTTTGTCCTTCTAGTTACCCCTGTTTCGCTATCATTATTAACATTGATTCACCAACAGTGTTGATGTCTTTCCTCGTGGACTGACAGTTAGTTGTCATGCTGCTGCAGTCCTTTTTCAACTCATCAAGCTGAAAACACAAGGCTTTTTCACTCACACAGCAATTCCGCCAATCTGGATCCACTTAATGACGAGTGTAAAACAGCACTCCCATGATTCCACACTATATAATTATCCTTCTTCAAAGGGACTGTTTTGTTGTTGTTGTTTTTTAACGAGGTAGGATTAAGTCAGCCAGATCCTGCAGGTTTTCACAGGGCTGCAGTCTTCATTGTAGTAGGTGATCCAGCAACACTCCTCTTCTAATCCCTCTCGCCTCCCTCTCTCCTGTCTGCTTCAGTGTGGTCTGAGGCCAGCTCCACACAGTGCAGTGAGCCCGGCCAAGTGTCCGACACAGTAATAGGCACACACAGCCCTCCCTATATAGGTGAAACAGCACCGGCGCTAACGCCAGCTAAGCTAACGCATAAACACACCAACAGGACATCCTTCCTTCAAATCTTCCAGGCCAGGGCAAATATTTAGTCTTCGAGCGTCTTGACTGTGTCATCGTCCATAAAACAATGTACATTTTTCTGCCCCCTCTCTCCTCCTCGCGTTGTGATATTGTGACCTAGTTTCTCTCACAATATCACACACACACACACACATACACTCACACACAGAGCCTGGCCCTTGCCCGCCTTCCTGCTCCGAGCAGCACACAGAGCCCACGTGACTGCGTGACAGCGTGACTGCTGCTCTCCTCTCCTCCGGTCACATCTCTTTGCTACCGTCCTGCAGGGACTGGGCCTGCACACGCTGCAAACACACACCCACAAGGCACACATACGACACTCACAGTACACACCCACACACTGAACACACACACACTCCCTCCCACCAGAAACAGGACGTCAACTTGAAGCTGCCCTCCAAAAATCTCATTTTTCACATCAATGCCCCTCTCTGCTTGGCAGTTCATAGGTCAGTCCTGTGATATCATGATTGACTCGCTGCCTTCAGGCTGTTCATAGGTCACCACTGTGGGTAGACTCAACTCGCACACCGCAGAAAAAACTCCCACTGCAAATATCCGTAAATCTCACTAACACTCACATTTGTCTTTTCTTACTAGCATGGACTTATTGAGGATTTTTTTACTTACTATGACTGTGATATGTGGTTGTCTCACCTAGCTATCTTAAAGGGATACTGCGAGATTCGGACAATTTACTACTTACCCAGAGTCAGATGAACTCGTGCATACCATTTTTATGTCTCTGTATGCAGTGCCTGTAGACTTCCAGTCATTGCGTTAACGCTAGCATTGGCTCACAAAACTACCTCTAACTTCGTTCATACTGCACACAGAGGCATAAAAAATGGTATCCACGGGTTCATTTGACTCTGGGTAAGTAGAAGAATCTTGCAGTATCCCTTTAAGATGAATGCAGTAACTGTGAGTTGCTCTGGATAAGAGCGTCTGCTAAATGACTAAAATGTAAATGTGAAACAGCGTCCCATAATCAACAAACTTATACTCTATGTACCTACAGTTGAAGATCACTTCTCATAGTTTCTTAAGTAAACAAAACCTGGCTACAAGCCACCACTTTTAAAGTCTACTAAAATAATCTTATAGGAAAACAAAACTCACTCCATCTCTAAAATGCTACAAAATCAGTATTGATCAGTATTTGCATTCTAGCCGTACCCGAGCTCGGCAATGTTATTTTTCTGTGCCAGGAATCAATATTGCCATTTAGCATAAAAAACCTAGTTCTCACTAGAAATACACCAGAAATACTGTAGATAAAGAATGTAGCCAGGGAAAAAGGCCATTCAAATTTAATTTCACACCATAACAAAGAGTGCTTGGGGATTAAATTAGATATTTTTTTCTTCTAATAAGGTAGTTTTTTTGTAAAGACCCCAACTTCCTTTTTTCTCTTCCTCTCAATATAGCTGGGCGCAAGCACATTATGGGCCCTTATCGTTATCTGAGAGGCTTCTTCTGAGCATCAATACCATTTATTACTAGACTTATGGGTCAGGGATGATCTCAGGTCTGCTAAATAAAGGATGCTGAATTGGGTGAGTGCTGGAGGACAATGGAGGGACGATGAGGAGAGAATGCTAACATCCAAACATAAACCGCTGGCAGTGGCTGCAGTGGCTGCGTCCCAAATGGCACACTATTCCCTATTTAGTGCATTACTTTTGACCAGAGCTCTATGGACCCTGGTCAAAAGTAGTGCACTAAATAGTGAATAGGGTGCCATTTGGGGTGTAGGCTGGGCATGCTGGGATAGCATGTCCTACTTTTAGGCCCTGGTCAAACAAAGGTAGTGCACTTAATAGGTAATAGGGTGCCATTTAGGACGCACCCTGTGTGTGGCCCCTCATCCCTCTTCTCATTATGAGTGTGACACACAGGTAATTGACTCTTTTGTGGCTTGAGTATCAGCCCAGGCCTGTCTCCTCTCCTGTCTCAGCCCCATCTTTGACGGAGGAGGGAGGAAGGGAAGGATGGAGAGACAGGCTAGCATGCAGTCTGGCTGGGCTGGATGGCTGTCTGGCTTGGGCACAACGTGTTCCCGGGGGAGATTGTGTGTGTGTGAGTGAGTGAGTGAGTTAGTGAGTGAGATAGAGAATCTGGGCTAGAGTGGGGCTCTAACATATATAAACCATGACAGAGTCATTTTAAATGAAGGAGACTGCTCTCTCCTCAGCATCTGTTTCTCACTAATGCTGCCTGTCTGGCCTCATGGGTGATCAAATCTGCTTATTAATGCCTTGATAGCATAATGTTTGCATTAGTGTTCTTATCAGTGCACATTGAGATGACGTTAGGGTTGCAAAATTCCGGGAACTTTCCCAAATTTCCCAGGTTTTCCAGAAATCCCAGTTGAAAGATTCTCGGAATTAGGAAGGAATAAGCAGGAAATCCAGGAATCCTCCAACCAGGATTTCTGGAAAACCTGTGAATTTGGTGAAAGTGACAGCCATTTTGCAGCCCTAGTCATGTGGTTCCCGTACCTGAGGGCCCCCTGTAGATGGCGCTCTGCGAGGTGTGGTTGAGGTCCACGGGGCCTTGGTGGCTTGGGCTGCGGTACAGGGGCCCATGGAAGGTCCTGTCCTCGTAAATGGGCGTGATGTGTCGGTCAGGGGACATGGCTGACCTCAGGTCCTGGCCCAGCTGGCTGTGCTGACTGGCGTACGAGCTCCGCATGCCTAGAGGGAGGGGGGCGGGAGGCGAGGGAGGGTAAGTCTGCATCCCAAATGGCAACTTATTCCCGATATAGTGCACTTGTTTTGGGCCCTGGTCAAAAGTAGGGCACTATATAGGGGACAGAGCCCAAGACAGTAGTACAGGGTTAGAGACTGCCACCGGCCTCGTGCGTCTCCCTGTGTGTCACCCCTAATCCCCATTACCATCACACAGTGACAGCACTGGAGCTACTACACAGCAGCACACACCACAGCTACAATTCAACTGTGATGATTCAGACACTCTGGAACTGCTAGCGAGAGCTCGGAGAAAAACTCCTTGTTATCCGTGTTGAAGTTTGATAGTTTAGCTGCTAAAGACTTAATTGAAATGAATTCAGGGTTCATTTCCAATTCTGTGTAATGCTAAGGCAGTAGTGGTATGTAGTTTGTCATGCTGCACCGCCCCAGCTCTCCTCTCCACCCTCTCTCTTAATGATCCAGCTTTTTAGTAAGCACACTCTCTTCTCTCTAGCAGCTCTTAGCTGAACAATTAACTCTTAGCCATACTTCTCATAGTACCTCTCTGGCCTAGGAGGAAATATATAGTGAAATATAGCCCAAAGCCTCGACCACTAGTTGAAACCACCCAGCAGTGAACTCAGCATAATGTTTCAGTATGAGAGGCCACACCTGGGAAGAGTCCCAAATGGCACCCTATTCCCTATGTAGTGCACTACTTTTGACCAGGGCCCATAATGCTCTGGTCAAAAGTAGTGCACTACAAAGGGATTAGGGTTCCATTTGGAACACAGACCCTGGGTCTTGATAGGATAGAAGTTGCCTTCCCCATTCTCAGGATTTGTAGTGAGAGAGAAGAGATATAGGCTAGTAGAACAAGGCTGAGCCAGAAAATGTCAGGATGTGGGCAAGCGTGTTTCTGGAAATGGAGAGGGGGGTTCTCTTCACCATAAGCTCACCTACCAGGGGGAAACCCCACTGAGGTCAGTCAAATTACAAATTCACACCAGATTAATTACTATGACAATAGTATTTGGGGGAGTCGCAGCGTAGCATGGCTGACTAGCTGACTGACACGAGGGCTGGTTGGTCCAAACGTGGAACAAATGTCGCGTCCCAAATGGCACCCTATTCTTTTTATAGTGCACTACTTTTGACCGGAACTCTATAAAAGTAGTGGACTATATAGGGAATAGGGTACCATTTGGGATGCATACCAAGTCAACAGCAATCATGCAGCATATGCTTCTCTGTATCCACACGTATAAATCCAGCCGGCAGTTATTACCGCGGCGGCCGGCCCAAAGCTCCAGGGCCATGTTCCTAACACCATGATACCCTCTGTTCCCCTCAGCACCATTATTTTGGGCTCCGGTCTAACACCGCTTGGCGAGCTGAGGCTCCAAAAGCTGCTCAACACTGACGTTGTCATGCGTTAACGAGATAAATTAGGGATTCTTATCGGAGTTCAAAATGAATAAATGAATATTAAATATATAAATATTTTTCCAGGAGTGTTGAAGCCCAGTGAGGCAGCTAGATAGATACTCAGTAGCAACACACTGTTCTCCTCCGCCTCAGAAACAGGACCAAATAAACATGACCTCTGGAGCATCCGCAGTGTGCCTTCACCTGTGGCGAGAGAGACCCGGGGAGGGGCTTCGTCTCTGGGGGGATGCTGCCGCGAGACCCCTGATAACCTCCAGCTTCGCACACTAACTAATGAACAGCTAAATTACGAGCCAGTGGATAATAAACCCTATTCAAACAGCTTACTGCACGACATGGAAAGCATAGCTACTGCCATCCACTAAAACGGTATTTCCCCATGGGTTAAAGGTAGTGACATCTATTGCATTGTTTCAGCGAGGATGAGGAGGGAAAGGAATCAGGGCTACACAATTCCAGTAACTTTCTCAAAATTCCCAGGTTTTCCCTCCTGATTCCGGGAATCGTCTAACCAGGATTTCCGGAAAACCTGGGAATTTTGGTGAAATTACAGGACATTTACAGCCCTAGGAGGGACTTGTCATTGTCGAGGTTAATGTGTGCTGCTGTGGCGACACATCCAGGCAGTGGCTCAGTCAGTCAATCTGCAGCGCTTCAGACAAAGGTGTTCCGTTTGGCAGTAAATCACTTTGGCTTCTCTTGTTCAAAGGTTTCCGACTATAGAGGGGGAATATCAATGAGCCGGTGTAGGATCACAGCCTGCCACAGCCCAATAATCGGCTAAACCCATCGGACATGAGGAAGGCATTCAGTAGAACCGTAGCTGGAGAGGAGAAGAGAGGGAGGAGAGGACTAAATCTCACAGAGACAGGAGCATATCCATTCCTGCTCTGCTCTACAGGCTCTCTCTCTCCCTACCTTCATCTCTCTCTCTCTCACCATTATAAACCTTAGCACGCTAATCCCTGTGCCATTATTCTGCTTCCCTGGTGAAATGTAGCATTCAGGTTCGGAAGCAGCTGCAAATTGTCTCTGAAAATAATATATGACCGTCTGTGGTGAACATTGATGGCGTGTTATACTCGTTTAATGCTGCCTTAACCTCCTCCTGTGGCCCAAACAGATTGTACTTGGCAGAGGCTAGACGTACTGTAGGGAGGTGGCGGTTTGGCACACTGACTCTGTAGAAACAAACATTTAAATGGATGCAGCTGACTTACATTCCTGGTCCAAAATAATTCTCTAAACCTTTTCTCAACAAGGAAGTAACAAAAGCAAAATCCACGAAAACACTAAGTTCCGCTCCCAAGAAGAAGATTACACAAGTATGGAAAGCTGAAGGCTTTAACTCTACACCACTGTTTCCGTAAACCGAAGCATTTAGGCATGGGCCACCTGCATAGAGGCTGTTGATCGACATTTGCCTTTGCTCTCCTCCAGTGCTCTGAAATGGACATTGGGCATAATGGCCAAACTACAGGGAAGATTTGTCTTCATCTTCCAATTTTCAGTGGCAGAGAGGAGAAATGACTTCCTGCCAACACTGGACCAGTTGGGGAAGAGGAGGGGAGAGCAGGGAGTGGGAGGTTCGTGGTCTGGGTCTGGCCAGAGACAGAGAGGGAGAGGGAGAGAGGGCTGCAGCCTGCAGACTTCAGGTCGGGCTCAGGATTCAGCTTTCCGGTGGCATTTGTCAACTGAATGCAAATGAGCGCAGGCGTGTGAACATCCACATCCCTGTCACTGCTACTGCTGACATAATCCAAGGGACACACAGGCAGTCCTGGCCCAGATGAGCACAGGAGAGGACCTGTGCCATGATGCCATCAAAGCACATACAGTACATGCGGTAAGAATTCAGACCCCTTCACTTTTTCCACATTTTGTTACGTTACAACCTTATTCTAACATTGACTAAATTAATAAAAATCCTCATCAATCTACATACAACACCCCATAATGACAAAGCAAAAACAGGTTTTTAGAAATGTTTGCAAATTTATAAAATAAAATAAATGGAAATACCTTATTTACATAAGTATTCAGTTCCTTTGCTATGAGACTCAAAATTGAGCTCAGGTGCATCCTGTTTCCATTGATCATCCTTGAAATGATTCTACAACTTGATTGGAGTCCACCTGTGGTAAATTCAATTGATTGGACATGATTTGGAAAGGCCCCACAGTTGACAGTGCACGTCAGAGAAAAAACCAAGCCATGAGTTCAAAGGAATTGTCCATAGAGCTCCGAGACAGGATTGTGTCGAGGCACAGATCTGGGGAAGGGTACCCAAACAATTTCTGCAGCATTGAAGGTCCCCAAGAACACAGTGGCCTCCATCATTCTTAAATGGAAGAAGTTTGGAACCACCAAGACTCTTCCTAGAGCTGGCCGCCCAGCCCAACTGAGAACCCAATGGTCACTCTGACAGAGCTCCACTGTTCCTCTGTGGAGAAGGGAGAACCTTCCAGAGGGACAACCATCTCTGCAGCACTCCACCAATCAGGTCTTTTTGGTAGAGTGGCCAGACGGAAGCCACTCCTCAGTAAAAGGCACATGACAGCCCGCTTGGAGTTTGCCAAAAGGCAGCTAAAGGACTCTCAGACCATGAGAAACAAGATTCTCTGGTCTGATAAAACCAAGATTGAACTCTTTGGTCTGAATGCCAAGCGTCACGTCTGGAAGAAACCTGGCACCATCCCTACGGTGAAGCATGGTGGTGGCAGCATCATGCTGTGGGAATGTTTTTAAGCGGCAGGGACCAGAATCGAGGGAAAGATGAACGGAGCAAAGTACAGAGAGATCCTTGATGAAAACATGCTCCAGAGCGCTCAGGACCTCAGCCTTGGGCAAAGGTTCACCTTCGAACAGGACAACGACCCTAAGCACACAGCCAAGACAACGCAGGAGTGGCTTCGGGACAAGTCTCTGAATGTACTTGAGTGGCCCAGACAGAGCCCGGACTTGAACCCGATCGAACATCTCTGGAGAAACCTGAAAATAGTTGTGCAGCGACGCTCCCCATTCAACCTGACAGAGCTTGAGAGGATCTGCAGATAAGAATGGGAGAAATTCCCCAAATACAGGTGTTCCAAGCTTGTAGTGTCATACCCAAGAAGACTTGAGGCTGTAATTGCTGCTAAAGGTGCTTCAACAAAGTACTGAGTTAAGGGTCTGAATACTTATGTAAATGTGATATTTCCATGTTTTTTTTTAAATACATTTGCAAACATTTCTAAAAACCTGTTTTTGCTTTGTCATTATGGGGTATTGTGTGTAGATTGATGAGGGGGAAAAACATTTTAATCAATTTTAGAATAAGGCTGTAACATAACAAAATGTTGGAAAAGTCCAGGGGTCTGAAAACTTTCCGAATGCACTGTATGTGACTTTGTGCCAACTAGTTCCTTTGGGGGCAGCTGGGTGCGAGGTGGCATGGGGGTTTGGGACAGAGCAGATAGCCAATTCAGACAAGAGCTATTGGGCTTGACTGGCCAAAGTGGCCAATGTGTTTGCAGACTTTGCACCTTAGAGAAAGAGTTTTAAAAAGCCATTTGTGTCTCGGGGAGAGATCACCAGTCATCGTATGTGGATTATGGCCATCAGCACGAGAGAGAGAGAGAGAGAGAGAGCGAGAGAGAGACACTGGGCAATGCAGTGATATAATGGCCTCGTGGAGATTATTATTCTTGGGCCCTGATTTACAAAAGTTCAAGAAAGTAATGGTAAAACCACAGACTTACTTGGTCTGGAAATGATAACTCTACACTTTAAGGCATTTCTCCATAGCCGTTTTAACTTCTGCCCTATGTGAATGGGGTTTTAATGCTTGTAAAAGGAAATAGGTTGGAAATGATGATCATGCTACGAACAAAAAGGTGACACGCGTAGTCCCCACAGAAAAAAACATACATGCCATACTCAGACACTAATGTAGGGAGAAGTTGCCCCTAGACGGTGATCTTGGGTCAGTTTGGCATTTTCCCCAATAATGGTTAAGGTCAGGATTGGGGGAGGGGAAGCTGGTCCTAGATCTGTACCGAGGGGAAACTTCACCCCGGACCCAAGCACATTATGAGGGGAGGGCAACATGATGAAGTTAGAATTCACCTTGAAGGTCATCATCTACCAGGAGGTCTGTAGATATCCAATGGCAGGAGGAAAAGTTGGTCAAAAAACACACATTATATCAACCTTTTCATGATAAAAACATGGAGAAATATTGCTACTACCTGGGACTAAAGGCTAGGTATTGCCAGGGACCTCACGATATTGTCATGTTACTTAGGTCCCGATACGATTTGTTTTGCAATTCTCACGACTCTATATGTATTGTAGTTCGATACTGTGATTTTATTGCGAGGGACAAGAGGGAAACGAGGGACGAGAGCATTAGCTCACTATTTAAAAAGAAGATGAACAAGCTATTGGATGAAAATTACCTGAGTTTTGGCACAGGTACGAAATAAAAGGAGTCAAGTATAAACGTCCAAATATATATTGTATATCGTCCGAAATACTATCGGGATATATAACTGTATAGATTGTTTCACTAGTGGGACAGCTGAAATAATTCAAAGTAACACAAAGTCATATGAATATTAGTTTAAAGGCGGGCACAATAGACCGTATACAAATAACGGCAGGCACTCAGTAAAATGAGATAGGCCTTGTACCGGAAATTGGCTGCATGCATTTCTATATTCATCTGCAAAGCCGTCCATTATGAAAACAGGAATAATTTGCAATTTGCAGGAAAACCCTGCAATAAACCTCTATGTTTCATACAAGAACGCCTCAAAATATCAGAAATTATTCTGGAGTGGAAAACATGGTTGTGTCCCTAATGGCACCCTTAGGGCTCTGGTCAGAAGTAATGGACTATGTAGGGAATAGGGTGCCATTTGGGCCGTTTCTTACGCTTTCTGATGTTGCTGGGCCTTGTTTTCCAATACTGCTTTGTACCAGGAAGAGAATCCCCTACTGTGAGGAATTATAGAACATAATTTCATTTAAACTGTTTTACACCACAGGGATCTTTTCTTCCAAAGAGGAACAAAAACTCGACAGAAAATGTCTGATAACACGCACTACACAACCCTCGCGTCTCCAGATGGAAATGACAAACGAGTAACGAATGCTCATTTCTGATGCAGTGGAAGAAGAAAAGCCTCTGCAGCAACATAGGACAATCATTCTAGAATTCTTCTAGCATTCTTTCTTTAGACTCCCTGTCAAGCAGCTAGTATTTACGGGGCTTTGAAATGTAAAGTCAGACTCCTATGGCTGACACCCGCGAAGAGAAATTACAACAGATCTATCAATCAACACACAACATATGAATTACTTAGAGGAGTTGTCAACCAGAGCACACTGATTCATCTCAGGGGGATGGCAGGCAGGCATGCTGGCACCCTTCTTCATTTTAAATGAACTTGACAGGGGAAACAAAATCTAACTTGACTTTAACGCACGTATCTTATTTATGCACTTGGGATCAAATCGGATAACGTACACAAACAACAAAGTCCAAACAACGGCTTTGTCTTTGGTATGTCAATACATTATTTCTCGACTCTGCAGTTTGCTTAAGAAACCCCAGTCTTTTTCTAGTACTAGGAGTTTTTCCCAATGGATGTAGGCCTATTTGCATTCATTCTAGTGCAGTGGCAGTATATCCAACTGTGCGAGTGGATGGATGGATCATGCCAAACCCTTCAAACAGTGGCCTGTGGTTTATGACGCGAGTCTACATGAGAGCGAGGGTCTGGCCTTGGCCCATGCCACAGATTGACATGGGCTGCGTCCTAAATGGCACCTTATCCCCTATATAGTGCACCACTTTTGACCAGAGGTTGACCAGGGTCCATAGTGATCTGGTCAAAAGTAGTGCACTATGTAATGAATAGGGTGCCATTTGGGATGCAGACAATGGGTCTCTGGGCTGTGTGCAGTGACTCACTGTGTGCTGCAGCATGCCAATGGAAAAGCATTGACAGCTGAGCCTCAGACTGGAGTCCAACTCTGATTATGGGGAGAGGACTTTAATGTACTTATTATCAGAACAGACTCAATTCGTCGCGGCATGGACTCTACAAGGTGTCAAAAGCGTGTTGACTTCAATGCTTCCCACAGTTGTGTCAAGTTGGCTGGATGTCCTTTGGGTAGTGGACAATTCTTGATACCTGTGGAGGCTGCTGAAGGGAGGACGGCTCATAATAATGGCTGGAACGGCGTGAATGGAATGGCATCAAACACATGGAAACCATGTGTTTGATGTTGTTGATACCTTTCCACCTATTCTGCTCCAGCCATTACCACGAGCCCGTCCTCCCCAATTAAGGTGCCACCAACCTCCTGTGCTTGATACACACGAGAAACTGTTGAGCGTGAAAAACGCAGCAGCATTGCAGATCTTGACAAACTGGTGCGCCTGGCACGTACTACCATACCCCGTTCAAAGGCACTCAAATCATTTGTCTTGCCCATTCTCTCTGAATGGCACACATACACAATCCATGTCTCAATTGTCTCAAGGCTTAAAAATAATTTTTTTAACCTGTCTCCTCCCCTTCATCTACACTAATTTAAGTGGATTTAACAAGTGACATCAATAAGGGATCATAGCTTTAACCTGGATTCACCAGGTCAGTCTATGTCATGGAAAGAGCAGGTATTCTTAATATTTTGTACACTCAATGTATATAGTGCACTACTTTTGACCATATAGGGCCCTGGTCAAAAGTAGTGCACTATATAGGCAATAGGGTACAATTTGGGACGCATCCATTATCTCCTGCCCTGTGGAGGCATGCATGTATTATCTCCAGAGAGAGTAGACACTTGGAGAGAGTGAGCACACCCACTCTAGATATGTGTACAAAGGGGAAGGCATAAGAACGGACCTGTGAAGCTGTCAGGCCGTGGGATCATCCTCTCGTAGACGTCATAGCTCTGGGCTCCGTAGGGTTCGGAGTCATGGTGGATCAGCGAGCGAGGCAGTGTGGAGCCATAGTGCTGGGGCTGGGCCGTCATGCTGGAGCGCACCGGAGACACCGACGACCCCACCGGCTGCTCGGTGAGGGGGCCGTCCACCATCGTTAACGGGGACCCCATGCGCCCCGATGCCGACCCCAGGTAGGGCGAGGTGGTGCGGCTGGCGCTGCCCGAACGGGAGTGTGCGCTGCCCATGCGGCGCAGGGCTGCGGGGGAGCTCTTCTGGGTGTTGTAAGGGGAGCCTGCTCGCTGCGCTGAGGGCAGGGTGGTGGAGAAGATACTGGACAGGGGCTTGGGCTCTGTCACGATGGGGGAACCGTAGTTGCTACCCATGGTGGCCCTCAGGGAGCCGCGGGAGGGGGACACACTGCTGCCGTAGGCTGGGGACTGGGTCCTGGAGGGCACCGAGCTCACCCTCCTCATGGCTCGACCCGGCGCTGCGGCAGTTAACACTGGGGCCTGCCAGGACAGACAAGGACAAACTACTGAGCAACCACCACACATTTTAACATCACATTTAATAGAGCCCTAAAATCCTTTTACGGTGATCTTCATTAGACATTCAACATCTTCACAGAAAATATTAATGCCTTAGGGGAATATTCTAGGTCCTTTTCATCTCTCTTTTCTCTAACTTCCACCTCATCTCCCTGTGACTGTGTAGCCAGCAGTAGCATCTGTGTGCTCAATAGCAGTCAGAGTCATGACCATAGAGCTCATCTCCTATCTTTGCCATTTCCGCTTCTGTGACAGCATGCAACTCTCTATCCAACTCTATGGCTGGGACTGCCGCAGACAGTGTTTCCTCTATCCAACTCTATGGCTGGGACTGCCGCAGACAATGTTTCCTCTATTCAACTCTAGGGTCGTGACTGCTGCAGACGGTGTGCCCTCTGCTTCGTGTCCGTACCTGGACCTGTGCTTGGCCCTCAGCCCTGGCATTCCTCAGGAGGGTGGAGGTGCCGCCTGTGCCCGGGTACGAGTGCTGCATCCTCAGCTCGGCCTTGGCCAGATTATTCTGGTTCTGGCCGCTGAAGTAGCTGCTGGCATCCTGGTAGCCACTGTCTGAGTACGAGTTCATCTGGGTGGAGCTGCGGGAGTTCCCTGTAGACCCTGAGAGACAGAAGGAGAGAGGAAAGGAGGGAGAGAGGGACAGAATGAGAGAGAGAAACAGAGAGGGGGGGGGGGGGGGGGGGGGAGAAGGTGAGGAGAGAGAGGAGAGAGACAGTGTGAGTGTCCTCAAAACACTACATGACCTTTAGCCAGTCCACACAGTGCTAATGACCTCACACAGTGGCCGTTTCCACCTCCCTACCCTCCACACTGTAGCGTACTCATTCAAATTATAGACAGAGGGAGGGGAAGAAAAAAGAGAGAGGAGGGGAAGAGAAAAAGAGAGAGAGCGCCACAGTGGAACACGAGGTTGCATTAATAACAGACCCTCACTTTCATGGAGCGAGGTCTGCTCTGGGGAGTAGAGGACCACCTGCTCCTGCTCTGTTCTGAGGCGATAGGTGGGCGACTGAGAGCTGTCCGTCACCCGAGACTTGGTCTCCCCCGAGGTCGAGGCATCTGGGAAAGGGAGAACGAAGTCAGTGTTGCTTGTGTGGCCCAGTTGGTAGAGCATGGCAACGTTAGGATCGTGGCTTCAATTCCCGCTGGGGCCACCCATAGGTGTATGCCAATAGGAAAACGTAGTGTACGAACTACTGTCACTTTGGATAAAAGCGTCTGCTAAATGGCATATACAGTGCCTTCGGAAAGTACTTTTTCCAAATGTTGTTACGTTACAGCCTTATTCTAAAATGGATATATATTTTTTTATCCTCAGCAATCTACACACAATACCCCATAATGACAAAGCGAAAACAGGTTTTTATAAATTTTTACAAATGTATTAAAAATAGAAAACAGAAATACCTTATTTACGTAAGTATTGACCGTTTAGCTCAGGTGCATCCTGTTTCCATTGATATGTTTCTACAACTTGGAGTCCACCTGTGGTAAATTCAATTGATTGGACATGATTTGGAAAGGCACACAACTGTCTATGTAAGGTCCCACAGTTGACAGTGTTTGGAACCACCAAGACTCTTCCTAGAGCTGACAGCCCAGCCAAATTGAACAATCGGGGGAGAAGGGCCTTGGTCAGGGAGGTGACCAAGAACCAGATGGTCACTCTGACAAAGCTCTAGAGTTCCTCTGTGGAGATGGGAGAACTTTCCAGAAGGACAACCATCTCTGCAGCACTCCACCAATCAGGCCTTCATGGTAGAGTGGCCAGACGGAAGCCACTTCTCAGTAAAAGGTACATGACAGCCCTCTTGGAGTTTGCCAAAAGGCAGCTAAAGACTCTCAGACCATGAGAAACAAGATTCTCTGGTCTGATGAAAACCTGCTCCAGAGCGCTCAGGACCTCAGACTGGGGTGAAGGTTCACCTTCCAACAGGACAACGACCCTAAGCACACAGCCAAGTCAACGCAGAAGTGGCTTCGGGACAAGTCTCTGAATGTCCTTGAGTGGCCCAGCCAGAGCCTGGACTTGAACCCGATCGAACATCTCTGAAGAGACCTGAAAATAGCCATGTAGCAACGCTCCCAATCCAACCTAACAGAGCTTGAGAGGATCTGCAGAGAAAATGCAAATACAGGTGTGCCAAGCTTGTAGCGTCATACCCAAGAAGACTCAAGGCTCTAGTCGCTGCCAAAGGTGCTTCAACAAAGTACTGAGTAAAGGGTCTGAATATTTATGTAAATGTGATATTTCCTTTATTTTATTTTATTTATTAGCAAAAATGTATGGGGTATTGTGTGTAGATTGATGAGGAAAAAACCAATGTAATACATTTTAGAATAAGGCTGTAACGTAACAAAATGTGGAAAAAGTCAAGGGGTCTGAATACTTTCCGAAGGCACTGTATATAGTGGTATATATATATGGAAGAGCAGAATGCAGTCCAGTTGCAAGAAAGGATACATAGAAGTTAAAGAATTTCGCTTCAGGGCAATAACATCAATTCCACAACATTCATTTCACACTCGTGTAAATTCCGAATCATTACGTTTTATTATCATACTAATTCATAGGCCAGACATTTGTGGTGCTCCTATTTTGCGGTGCCAGGACACTCTGATGAAAATCCGTCCTCAAAACAGTTTTCAAACTATAAAGTTTCCCGGGTTAAGTCCCAAATGGCACCCTATTCCCTATGTAGTGCACTACTTTTCACCAGGGCCCATAGGGATATATAGGGAATAGGGTTCAATTGAGAACAGACTATGAGAACAGCCAGTGAGGCAACGAGGAGGAGGATTACCACAGTAATGTCTCTCATAAACTGCTGCACAATGTTGCTCCACAATCAAAATCGAGTTAAGCGTGACAGACGTGAATGAGTGCCACTGCAATAGTTGGAACAATGGGATGCACGCATTGGCAGTGAGTTAGCGAGACAGAACTGGAGAGAGGGGCCTTGTTGGCTGGCATACATGTATGGATGAGGAGGGAGGCTGAATTCCATGGAGAAGGAGACCTATGCTGTTCCTCTCTGGCGGGGCTGTTTGCACAGATCTGTTAACACTGAGGCCTATAGCTTGTTAGACAGTCTGACGGCTTGTGCTCCCACTTGTGTCTCAGCCACCCGTTTCTTTGCCAGGGGTCCGCCGTCTCTGCTCGACGCCGCCGCCTCTAGCTGTATGGATTGGCTGCAACTATGGTACCTCAATAAATTCTGCTGCTGCTATCATTAGGGCGGACGTGAAATTATCGCTAAACCACTGTGAGCGCCGAGGAGGACACTTAAATCTTTCAAAAGGCCACGTTCGCCATGTGACTGATTTCCATAGCGGAAAACATCATTAAAAATTAATGCGGAGGATAAAACTAAATTGTTAAAAGCAGTATTTACAGAACAAGAATGGGAAATTATCTGGAAGGGGTGTAGCTTCTGTCCAAACAGCAACTGTATTCCACAATTTTTTTTTTTACAAAAATAACCCTGGGCAGCGTCTATTCCGCGTTGGGTTCAACGTGGGTTAAAATGCTGTGGAAACAACATTGATTCAACCAGTGTGTGCCCTGTGGTAAGCTTCACACATCACTCCTGCTCCTCATAGCATATTAGGAGTAACTTTTCAGGCAGACAGTGACCCTTTCTAGTGTTTTATGTGCAATTTCTGCCCTCAGGGCATCTTTACTGAGCACTGACCCTGTTTGAGAAATGAGACTATACACAATGAAAGAGTGTTACATCCCTCCATCCCTCCACCTGAATGTTGGGATTAAAGTGTGCATGCGTCACACAGGGCTCTGGTTAAAAGTAGTGCACTATATAGGGAATAGGGTGCCATTTGGGACACCGACACACAGGGCTCTGGTTAAAAGTAGTGCACTATATAGGGAATAGGGTGCCATTTGGGACACATCCTGTGCCTGTGCTGTCCCCATGCTCGAGGTGAAAGAAAGCCTCTCTCTCTCTCCACAGTAACACTTCCTACTGAAATTCACAGGCTGGCGACGGGCGAATGGGATGGGAGCAGCCCAGTCAGACATCCTCATTATCCTCTACAGCAGCACACTGCAGCTCATTCCACTGCAATCACACTCTCTCACCCACAACACTTTACGGCTGCATCCCAAACGGCACCAAATTCCCTATATAGTGCACTACTTTTGACCAGGGCCCATAGAGCCCCCATAGGGGGCTAAAAGTGGTGCACTATATAGGGAATAGGGTGCCATATGGGACGCGGGCTCCAACTCTGGCTCTTAACGTAATACAGGGTGGAGGAGTTCCAATCCAAGGGTGACAAAATAATACCCTGTGTATTAACTCAGACCATTATGGCTAGACAGCTGATTAAACGGTGAGCAACAACAATTCTCTCTCCTCATCACAGACAGGCTGTCTCTCACTTAATATCTATAAACATCAGCTATCATTTCTGCTTCATATTTGGATTAGAAAAACACATTACTGTGGCTAACGACGATTTATCAGCTACAATAAGGAAATCAATATTCATTCAAATAGGATGCGCCCCAAATGTCAACCCTATTCCCTATATAGTGCACTACTTTTGACCAGAGCCTTATGAGCCCTGGTCAAAAGTAGTGCACTATAGAGAATAGGGTACCATTTGAAACCCATGTCCTTGTCCTTACTGTATCCCTCTGCTAATCATGCTTTTCAGCAACAAACCAAATGAAGCAAGTGGAAAATTCAAAACAATACTGTGACAAGATATATTAACATTCCCAGTGCATATGTACAATCATAACCCCATAGGGTCCCTCTGACAAGATCCGCAATAAAAGATGAATGACGACTGCAGAGATTCACTTAGTTCCATCATACAGTTAATAAGTCATGCAATACATGAGTAAAATGCACTTCATTATCAATTCGAGCAGCAGCAGCAAAGCGTCTGGGGATCCTTTAAGTATGTGACAATAAAAACATCTATTTTTTATTTATTTTTTGTCATCTCAGGGAGTTGGAGAGGAGGGAAAGTGGGAAGGTATTCAGGTTTGAGAGGGTGGGATTAACTTGAGATAAGTATTGAATCTAAAATGTGCCAGAGGACACTTATCAAGTCAGTCAGTATCCGTATGATATACATTATCTATGGCATGGTATCATGGTATGGTTTTCAATGTTTAACAAGAATAAGTATCTCTATATATGGTGATTGGTGACATGGGATGCATCCCAAATGGCACCTGATTCACTAGTGCACTACATTTGACCAGAGTCCCATAGGGCTTTGGTCAAAAGTAGTGCACTATAAAGGGAATAGAGTGCCATTTGGAACAGTGGCATGGTGTAGGTAAGGAATGATGAGCAGGCTTTACCTGCAGATCTCCAGGGGAGAGACTTCTCAGACGAGCTGAAAGACAAAACAGAGAGAAGGATTTAGATATGTACTCAGTGTAAAATTCATATGGAAGACATCCTGCGGAGATCTTAGATTTGTACTCAGTGTAAATTTCATATGGAAGATATCCTGCGGAGATCTTAGATATGTACTCAGTGTACATTTCATATGGAAGACATCCTGCGGAGATCTTAGATTTGTACTCAGTGTAAATTTCATATGGAAGATATCCTGCGGAGATCTTAGATATGTACTCAGTGTAAATTTCATATGGAAGACATCCTGCGGAGATCTTAGATATGTACTCAGTGTAAATTTCATATGGAAGACATCCTGCGGAGATCTTAGATATGTACTCAGTGTAAAACTCATATGGAAGACATCCTGCGGAGATCCTTAGCACGCTTTTGAAATTGGCCTATTCCAGGGGTACTCAAATACTATTTGAGAAGGTCACCAAAATTTCCTAGGTGGCAAAGGCCCGGATGGATAATGTAATTTATTAGCATAGTAACAAACCCCTACCTCGTAACCCATGCTACCTCAAACTGTTCACACCCCTCTTGTTGGCAGATAACTTTTGCAGTTTTAAAGCTAATTTCCTGCAAATTCTACACATTTTGCATGGGGCAGAGATTTATTTTGGCTGTT